AAACTTACGGAATTATGCTCTCGCAAAGTTAGCGGTCTCGGCGATGTTTACGCATCGGCGATTTTGCCCACTTTGAGCCCCATTTTCGGCCAATTTCACTGTACTAGTCGACAAAAAACGTGAATATTTCGCTAGAACTCCATTTTTTCTATCGAATGGGTGCAAGAAACCACCCATTTATAAATTCAACTATCCAGTACAGTGGTCAGAATTTAGCAATTTTGCCAATTTCACACAAATTTCAAAAGATGCCAATTTCCAAATAGGGTCCAGAATAAACAAGAAAGACATTCCTGGCACTAAAATGACATTTCCTCTAGTCATTAGTCACGTCTCAAGGCCCCTCTTATATTCTTTTGCTTTCCACTTTGAATTTTTATTCTCACAAAAAATATAAGATTACTGTTATGCAGACTACTGCATTAGTGTAAAAAATGGTATAAATATTATTGGTGCACTTGTATAAGAATATTAGACTCATCAGTTGACGTGTATTGCACGCTTGGCACGATTTGTTTACTTTTGAAGTTTGGTAAAAATCGAACATTTCTGCTACTTTGAGCTCAATTTCAAGGCACCTTTCATTGTAAAACCAGTCAAAATCATCTCAATTTCTGTAATATGTCTTCCATTCTATAAAATGAGACCAGGAAAACTAGAATACAACAATAAATACAATACGAAAATACACTGCAAAGTCGCTGATTTATTAAAAAAAAATGGTCAAAGTTTTTTTTTTCTCATTATGCACTGTGTGCTGCAGGATTTTTTTTAGACTGTGCACACTGACCACATAGACCCATTCTTTCATATGAAGGCCTACCAGCTTTCTCCCACTAGATTTGAGGCCGCTAGAATTTATGAGTACTAGTACGTCAAAAACCCCTACGCGTAAAACGTACTAGTACGACCAAAACCCTCAAAGGGTTAAGAGACATACTAGTAGGGAACAGGATGAAGTTGGAGCCATCTGTGGGCCAGCATTTTTATTTGATCAACTGACTTTATCTCATTGACATCATTATGCTGTACGAATGTGTTCCATACTCGAGTCATCCTGGGTATGTATGATCTCAGATGGAGTGATGTTCTGGAGAAGGGTACAGCCAGAGTGAAGTTGCTGCTTTCTGCCCGTCTTGTGGCATAAAAGCTTGTTTCACGCTGTCCTCGAAGTGGATCCAAGTGTGGTAATTTGACAATATTGGCCTTGTACATAACAGTAAGGCCACCCACATCCCTCCTATGTTGAAGGCTCTGCTGAAATGACAGATGTATCCAGGATGGGTCCAGGCGAGAGATGAGACTCTTCTCTGTTCTCTACTCTGTCAAGCAGTCGCAGTGAAGGGGGCAGGCAAACCAAGAAAGTGAGCATACTCAAGGTGTGAGCGTATTTAAACCCTCGTACAGGATCTTGCAACCCTATGTCAAGCAGATGCGAGATACGGCGAAGTGCTGTAAGCTTCCGGGCTGCCTTGTTTGCAAGATTTAAAACATGGTTCTCATGTTAGTTTGGACTCAGATTTCACCCCAAGGATATCAACTTCTTCTCCAGGTGCCAACACCCTCCCATTCATCCTTACTACTGCACCAGCATTCCCATCATGGTGCCTAGAACTATCATCATTTGCATTTTCTCAGGTGCAAATGTTACTTGCCATCTATTTCCCCAAGCTGATATGGGCTCTCACTGGTGATCGATATAGCTTAGAGCAGCGGGCATTTCTTCTTTTGGATAAGTGAATGTCAGTGTACAGTCGTCTGCATATGCATGTGATTCTGGGATGAGATGAAGAAGGTCGTTGAAGTAAAACATTACATAACAATGGACCCCAGCATGTTTTCCTGGGGAACATTCCCCCAATAGGATGTCTTGCTGATTCCATTCCATTGAGAACTACACTTAGAGATCTACCATGAGGTAATCACTGAGGAGACATAGCGTAGAGCCTGCAATTCCCAGTGCTTGAAGTTTGCTAAGGGGCCCCCTGGTGCCACACCCGGTCGAAAGGTCCAGCAATGTCCAGTGCTCCACACAGCTGACTTTGGAGTCATCCAGAAAAGGGTGCCACTTAGTGGAGAGGTTTAACAACAGATCAGCAGCAGAGTAACCTTTCCTGAAGCCATATTGACGATCACAAAGTAGTGAGTGGTAGTCAAAAAACTCTGTCATTTGCCTTGAGATTATTGTCTCAAGGATCTTACAGTGATTGACAGGAGTGACACTGGTCTGTAGTTGCTGATTTCTGCTCTGCTCTTCTTTTTGTGAACAGGGACTACATTTGCCTCTTTCCATAGAGAGGGCCATTTACACTGTACTAGGCAGTGCTGAAAGATGCGAGTTAGAGGTGCTGCTAGCTGGTCTGCACATCTTCTCAACAATCTTGGGCTCAACTTGTCTGGGCCCACAGCCTTTTCTTGGTCAAGCGATTTAAGAAGGAAATGCACCTCCTCCTGCCTTATTGTCACCTGGAGGTTACCTGGAGGTTATTCCAGGGATCAACGCCCCCGCGGCCCGGTCCATGACCAGTTTTGACACAGTTCTTGCAGCTAGCCAAGGAGGGTCCCTTGCTGGATCAGGAACTTGCATTTTGGTAGCAAAGTGTTCAGCAAAGAGGTCCGCCTTCTCTTGACTACTAGTAAAAGGGGGTCCCATCCTGTCGATTTAGAGGTGGAATGAGCTCATCAGGCAGATAACCTTGTCTGTCCTTGACCAGGGACCACCAGGTTTTGGAGCCTACCCTACCTGATGCTAGCTTTCTTTTAGTGTCCACCTCCCATTTAGCAATGGCCCACTTTTGAACGTCACCCATATGCCTACGGCTTGCCTGTGCAAGTTCCTGTTATAGTGTGGTAGGATGTCTCTTATACCTTCGCCATGCTTTGTACTTAGCATAGCAGCCTCTTTACATGAAAGCCAAACCAAGGCTGATCTGTAGGCTTTGTCACATATTGCCGGTGAGGAATGTGTTCTTGTTGTAGATTAAGGATGTGTCCAGTGAAGACTTTCACTTGTGTCAACATCCCCTTGGGGAAGAGCATTCCAATCGGTGGTTTGGGGAGCTCAGAGCGAAGGGCTGGCCAATTATCTCTTTCCCATAGCCAGGTTGTGCGTGTGGACTCCCACCTCGTTCTGTTGGGATCTTAAGTGTCGTAAAAAAAAGCCTTGTGGTCAGACGATCCAATGTAGCCGAGAGGGTTGACAAATGACTATGCCTTCTGCCAGATCCACTCACTACTGGGTCAAGGGAGAGCCAGAGATATGAGTAGGGAAATCAACAAAATTTCTCATGTCAAACACTGCAAGGGGGGTCATCAAAGTCCCTCTGTATAAGGTGCGGTTGAGGTCACCAACAATTATAATATGTTGACAGTTGTGTTGTAGCAGAAGGGAGTCAATATTTTCCATTAGGAAGTTGATGGGTCTGCATGTTGCCACTGAGGTCTGTACATTGCACATGCTAGTACAGAGGTACTAGTGTTTATAGAGAGCTTGAAGAACATTATTTCAAGATGTGTAGGGGTGGCAACATCAATGTGCTGGGCATGAACACTTTTAGAGAAGCACACAGCAACACTTCCTCCTAGAGAAGCACACAGCAACACTTCCTCCTTGCCCCCCCCCCTCTCTCTCTCTCTCTTTCTCTCTCTCTCTCTCTCTCTCTCTCTCTCTCTCTCTCTCTCTCTCTCTTCTCTCTCTCTCTCTCTCTCTCTCTCTCTCTCTTCTCTCTCTCTCTTCTCTCTCTTTTCTCTTTCTCTCTCTCTTTCCTCTTCTCTCTCTTTTCTCTCTTCTCTCCTCTCTTTCTCTCCTCTCTCTTTCTCTCTCTCTCTCCTCTCTCTCCCCCTCTCTCTCTCTCCTCTCTCTCCTCTCTCTCCTCTCTCTCCTCTCTCTCCTCTCTCTCCCTCTCTCTCCTCTCTCTCCTCTCTCTCCCCTCTCTCTCCCCTCTCTCTCCCTCTCTCTCCCCTCTCTCTCCCCTCTCTCTCCCCTCTCTCTCCCCCTCTCTCTCCCCTCTCTCTCCCCTCTCTCTCCCCTCTCTCTCCCCTCTCTCTCCCTCTCTCTCCCTCTCCTCTCCCTCTCTCCTCCCTCCTCTCTCTCTCTCTCTCTCTCTCTCTCTCTCTCTCTCTCTCTCTCTCTCTCTCTCCTTCTCTCTCTCTCTCTCTCTCTCTCTCTCTCTCTCTCTCTCTCTGTTTTCTCCAGGTGCATATATGCTTGCTATAACCCACTTTTCACATCCAACCTTTATTTTACTCCACATAAACCTTGAATTAATACATTTATAGTCCCTCTTTTTCCTGCCATAACTTATCCTTCAACATTATTGCTACTCCTTCTTTAGCTCTAACTGTATTTGAAATCCCTGACCTAATCCCATTTTTTCCTCTCTGCTGAAACTCTCCTACCCCCTTCATCTTTGTTTCACTTAAAGCCAGGACATCCAGCTTCTTCTCATTCAAAACATCCATAATCATCTCTTTCTTATCATTTGCACAACATCTACTCACATTCAGACTTCCCACTTTGACAGTTTTCTTCTTCTTATTGTTTTTAGTAATCTTTACAGGAAAGGGGGTTACTAGCCCATTGTTCCTGGCATTTTAGTTGACTTTTACAACGCGAATGGCTTATGGAGGAAAGATTCTTACTCCACTTCCCCATGGATATGAAAGGAAAAGTAATAAGACCAAGAACTAATAAGATAAAATAAAAGAAAACTCAGATGAGTGTGTATAAATAAACATGTACATGTATGTGTAGTGTGACCCAAGTGTAAGTAGAAGTAGCAAGATGTACCTGAAATCTTGCATGTTTATGAGACAGAAAAAAGACACCATCATGTAAAACAATTACAGGTTTCTGTTTTACACTCACTTGGCAGGACAGTAGTACCTCCCTGGGCAGTTGCTGTCTACCAACCTACTACTATGAATGTAGCTGCATAAATTTGGCAGATTAGTGTGCTATTTAATCCTTTCTTTTCAAGTCTGAAAACTTCTTTCCTCAGGTTATGCAGTTCACAGGTGTAAGCGCAGACGATGCGATGGTGGCCCTACACGACTGTGATAATGATATGAACGCCGCCATCGACTCGTTGCTGGAAGGTGATGACCAGGGCAAGTGGCAGGAGTCTACAAAGAAAAAGAAAAAACTGGTAACAAACAAGGTATAAATTCCATATGTAGTTTTTATTATGCCTTTGTGGAATGAGATTTTTATTCGGTAGAACCTTGTGATTCAGTATAGCTTTATTCACTTGTTTCAGTCTCTCACAGCAGACACTTCTCTCATATCATCGATATTAAAATAATTTAGACCAGATTCGTTTTTGTATATGACTGGTGCACATATCCATGCCACTAAGCTTATGTTTAATGAGTTTCCAAACATATCAGAATAAGTAGTTTCCAGGCCAGTCATTAAATTATGGACAAATCACAATTATATAGACAAATCTGTTTTTGGCAGTATGGCAAGGGGCATAGTCTTCCATACAAAATTGCCCCGGCACTTCTCAAATCTGTCAGACACATTTTACTAATGGCATACTTATGGTTGCGCTTATTTATAGTGCTTTCTTCATACAGTAGAGTATCCATTAACCCTTTGACTGTCGCAACCCCCAATCCTGAGGTGTCTCTTGGTGTCGCAAAATTTAAAAAAAAAATTATTTTTTCTTATGAAATGATAGAATCTTTTCCCGATTGTAATGACACCAAAAAACGAAATTTGATAGAAAACTGACGGAATTAGGCTCTCACGAAGTTGGCGACCTCGGCGCTGTTTACAAATCGGCGATTTCGCCCACTTTTAGCCCTATTTTCGGCTAATTCCATTGTTCCAGTTACCCAAACTCATAGCTATTTCTTTAGAACTCCATTTTTTCTATCGATTGAGTACAAGAAACTGCCCATTTACCGATTTGAACTACCTAATAATGTGGTCAGAAATTTGCAATTTGGCCAATTTCACGAAAACTAAAAAATATGACAATTTCAAAATAAGGTCCAGAATGAACAATGCAGACATTCCTGGCTCTAAAATACCATTTTTTTTGCTCATCAGTCATGTTTCCAGGCCCCTCTGATATTACTCTTGCTTTCTATTTTGAATTTTTATTCAAACAAAAAATAGAAGACTTACTATTATGCAGACTACTGCAATACTGTAATAATTGTATAAATAACATCAACCCATTCATGACTGCATATTAGAATGGCTAGTGGGACATTTATTAGACAATGGCATCATTTGTTTACTTTTGAACACTGGCAAAAATCAAACATTTCCCCTACTTTGAGCTCCATTTCTAGGTTCTTTTTATAGTAAAATCAATCAAAATCACCTCTATTTCTATAATATGTTTTCCATTCTATCAAATGAGACCAAGAAAACGAGAATACAGCCATAAATACTATACGAAAATAGACCACAAAGTTGGCATTTTAATTAAAAAAAATGGTCGGAGTTTTTTTTTTCTTATTATGCACTGCGTGCTCCAGGATTTTTTTTTATATGGTGCACACTGACCACACAGACCCATTCTCTGACATGTGGGCCTACCAGCTTTCTCCTGCTTGATTTGAAGCCGCTAGAATTTGTGAGTGTACATACGTCAAACACGGTACCTCATAAGACGTATATATACGGCCGCGACAGTCAAAGGGTTAATTAAGATGCAATCTTTTAGGACACTTTATGACTGTAGAAGAATTGCAGCATTGTTTTGATCATAACTCAATAATGTTTCTTTAGGAGAACTGTTGAGAATTGCTAAAAATTACTGACAATTGCTAATAATTACTGACAATGTGGTAGAGAAGACAGTGTGTGGGTTATGGTATTTTATTAAAAAAAACATCCTGATAAAATATAAGAATAGGTCAGTAGACTTTTGCAGAGCTCCTCTGTTCATAGAAACAGAGCAGCTCTATATTACATAGAAACAGAGAAGCTCTGCAGTAAGCCTAGTGACCTATTCTTATGGTATTTTATCAGGAAAATTTTTAATTAAATAGTATAACCAACATATTGTCTTTACCATATTGTTGGGAATTATTGCCAATATTCAACAGTTTTTCTAAAAAGCACAAAAGTAGGCCTGGCCTATTCTAGGCAAGTCTTTTTCCCCTCAAGGGAGGGGCTCTTGATCCAAGGAAATTAATTTATCTTCTTTCTTGGATTGAATCAATTGCCTCCCATTTCTTATGCAATATATGACTCGTTGGAAAGAAGAGTTCATGGATAAGGGATGTTTTGAATGCCATGAGCTTGAACGTCCAACAGGCTTGTGTGAACGTGTTAACCCTTAAACGGTCCGAATGTATAAATACGTTCTCTCGCGTGGCGCCCCAAATGTATATATACGTTTCATTTGTCATTCATTCAACGTTAGCATGATAGGCCTGAGTCGCCTAGACATGAGAGAATGGGTGTGTGCCATATGAAAAAAATTGGGGGTGCCTGGGTACGACATGCTCTTTTTTCCTATCAAAAAAAAAAAAATCAAAATATTTGGGGTGCTGTGCAGGTGAATGTATATATACATTTGGACTGTTTAAGGGTTAAATTGGAGTAAGTGTGGGCAAGTGGTTTTAATGACTTTGGGCTGTTGGAGTATGAGGAACATAGCTGGACCTGAGTCCTGGAGGTATAAAGCACAATGCTTACACTCTACAGTGAGGGGGAAGGGGATATTGCAGTTCAGAGGAACATTTAAACTGTGATGTCATCACGTTTCTGGTAAGACAGCGATTGAACAAATGACCAATTTTTTATTTTTTATTTTTTTTTTTGCCTAACAAACTTGGTGACTGGTGTGTTAAAAATTAATAATAATTATAATTAGGACTTGATATGCTGTTGGAGTGTGAGCAAGGTAACATTTATAAAGGGATTCAGGGAAACCAGCAGGCCGGACTTGAGTCCTGTAGTGTAAGCATGCCTCTGGCAAGACAGTGATGGAGTGAACAATGAAAGTTTCTTTTTCGGGCCACCCTGCCTTGGTGGGAAGCGGCCGATGTGTTAAAAAATAAAAATAATTAGGCAGGTTCTACTCATGCATAATCATCCCCACTCCTGTCTTTGTGAAACACTTTCGTAGAATTGTGTAGCAGTACAAGAAACATCAAGTTATAATTGAAAGGGATGGGGTTGCTGAAGCTAACGTCATCTTTCATCACATGTCCCTATATTTGTAGTCACATACAGTACAGTACTCTACTAACTGGCCATCTCAGCAAGTGATATCTTCATTTCATCTCTGGCATATAAAATTTTACTTTGTTATGAAAGTAGAAATAAAAGGGACTGCAAATACGGTGCTGGACTTTTTTTTTCTTTTTTTTTTTTAAACAAGTTGGCAGTCTCCCACCGAGGCAGGGTGACCCAAAAAAGAAAGAAAATCCCCAAAAAGAAAATACTTTCATCATCATTCAACATTTTCACCTCACTCACACATAATCACTGTTTTTGCAGAGGTGCTCAGAATACAACAATTTAGAAGCGTATACATATAAAGATGCACAACATATCCCTCCAAACTGCCAATATCCCAAACTCCTTCTTTAAAGTGCAGGCATTGTACTTCCCATTTCCAGGACTCGAGTTTGGCTATATAAAAATAACCGGTGTCCCTGAATCCCTTTACTAGATATTACCCTGCTCACACTCCAACAGCTCGTCAGGTTCCAAATACCATTAGTCTCCATTCACTCCTAACTAACACGCTCACGCACGCTTGATGGAAGTCCAAGCCCCTCGGCCACAAAACCTCCTTTACTCCCTCCCTCCAACCTTTTCGAGGACGACCCCTACCCCGTCTTCCTTCCCATACAGATTTATACGCTCTCCATGTCATTCTACTTTGATCCATTCTCACTAAATGACCAAACCACCTCAACAACCCCTTTTCAGCCCTCTGACTAATACTTTTATTAACTCCACACCTTCTCCTAATTTCCACATTCCGAATTTTCTGCATAATATTCACACCACACATTGCTCTTAGACAAGACATCTCCACTGCCTCCAACCACCTCCTCGCTGCAGCATTTACAACCCAAGCCTCTCACCCATATAAGAGTGTTGGTACTACTATACTTTCATACATTCTCTTCTTTGCCTCCATGGACTTATCCATCCAAAATACAATCCATCCAAAATACAATTCAAAACAGTAGATTCAAATTGGGTGAATTCAGATTTAGAAAAAAGATGAAGGAAAGCTCTGCTTTCGCTGTTAGTTGTGGATGATTGAAACAAATTACAAAGTTTAAACTGATACAAGAGTGGGAATAGTTGGATGAGAGCTGGATCTACCCAACAGGCCAGTAGCCCTGCAGTATCACCTTAGCCAGTTCTTGTGTTCTTCAGTGTTGAGATTAGCTTATAGATTTCAACCCTTCAGAAATACTACCCATGAATATGTTGATCTCCCACTTTTTGACAAAAAAAAAAAAAAAACTTAGAACCTCAGTCTATACTAGTTATGATAGAATGTGGAAAGGTCAGTAGATACAAGAGGACAGAGTAGGTATTGTAATTTTTGTATAAAATTAAATTTTGGTACTTTTGCAGCCGACAGAGGCAGAAAATAACAAGGAAAATCGACGGGTTAATTCCCGCGAGCGTAGCGGGTCAAGGCCAAGAGGTGGTGGTCCACCCAGATTTAGAGGGCGAGGTGGCAGTGGCCGGGGTGGTAGAGACAGGTGAGCACCAATTTTTAATGCTTAATGTTTACAGTACTGAAGCACTCTCTAGAATAATCAACCTTTTTCTATACGAAAGCAAACCATTTATGTAGTTAATAAAAAAAAAGTACAGTACATATAAAAAACTTCTATAGCTCAGACGTGTTGAATTGGTCAGCTAATGATAATTACTGGTAAGTTTTTTATTATTTAAAGATAACAGAAAGTTCTATTCATGAAACATGGCAAGATGAATTTTCAGAGCTCTTAAAAATGAAGTCCAGGGTATGCTCAAGCCTTGAATAGTAGTTTAGTATTTATCAAATCTTATGAAATGACTTCAGCATCTACTTAAAAAACAAAGTGTTGAAGCCATTTCTATTCATTTAGAACAGATTTAATTACAATAGAAGCTTAAGACATTTTTTAAGTTTCTGAACTATTTTTGTATTGCATAGCTAATTTTTTACATACAGCACATTACCATAGTTTAAAACAAAAATACATACATTTACATTAATTTCAGAAAATTTTACATTATATACAGTGAAACCCCGAGGTTTGAACATATCGACTATCAAACGCTTTGAGTTACGACCGCTTTTTTTGAACCAATTTTGTCCCTAGTATTGAACATGCCCCGTGTTTCGAGCTGCCAGGTACTGGACCTGTCTGCCTGCCTGCTCTGTCCGCCTGCCCACACTGTCCACTTCCCCACGCAGGCATCGTGAGCCAGTCTGGCTTTGTTTATGCTTAAGTGAACACTAACCTGTGTGCTCATTTAAACATTTCACAATTAATTCATTGTGTTCGGTGCTTGTTTATTAAGTGTGACTGTGAAATAAGCTGCTATGGTGGTGGTGGATGGTAGTGGTGGTGGATGGTAGTGGTGGTGGATGGTGCCTACTTCAGAGATTAAGGAGATTTGTGCAGTGTGGAATAGGGTGCAGGCATTTGCTGAAAAATATCACCCTGAACAAGCTGAAACAAGCCATCTCTGCAACAAGTTCAGTGACAGAACCTTGTCCCATTTTAGGGAAATCTTAAAGGGAAGTAACTCCAGATAAGGACTTGTTACCTAAAGTCTTTATGGAAGTACTTCCTCACTCCTCACTATCTTCCAGATGCCATCAACAATCTTCAATAAAGTTAAGTAAAAATGTTATTTTATATATTTATTTAAATGTTTATTTATCTATTACTAATTGTACAATGTATGTTTGTTGTGTGTATGTAAAACTATAATTAATCTCTATAAAATATATTTTTTTGTGAATATTTTTGGGTTTCTGGAATGGATTAATTGTATTTACATTATTTCTTATGGGAAATATTGCTTTGAATTTCGAATGTTTCGACTTTAGAACTAGCTCTTGTAACGGATTAAGTTCGAAACTCGAGGTTCCACTGTACCTTGCTTGCCTGATACTTCATGCCCTACATACCTATTCATAATTCACACACAACTGTGTATGGATAACAAAAAATTGCCAGACAATCACAGGAAAATTCACTTGTCCTACTATCCATACAGGCAGGCCCTACTTTCTTTACAGTTCTTCGCTTTATAGCATTTCACTAATACAACGGTTTTCAGTTATACTCATTCTTCATTTATTCAGACTTCCTACAGTATATATATTCACCACTCACTGTAAGCTAAAGATGAAAATATTTTAAGGTAAGTAATGTGTGTACTGTATATGCAACTGTGGAGAAGCTAATTACTGCTGTAAATAGGACCTGGTACCAAAACGAATTACTTGCCAAAATGTGTTCATTGTTGGTTCAGTCTATGCCAAAGCCTGTAGCATTGCTTATAAATGCAAAGGGTAGTCATATCTCTTACTAAATCAAATCAATTATGTCATATCATAGCCATGTATTTTTCACATAAGCATTCTTATTTCATCGCTGTCCCAGTTAATATGCACACTACTGTAGCTCCCACGAATACAGAGGTTTCACAATACATACTCGGGATAGTTGCAAACGGCTGAAGTAGGCTCAGAACTTAAAAATATTAAATATTAAAGGCTGTGAACTTTAAATATTCAAGACTAATGACAAAAGACTTAACAACAGAACAATGAGCATAACTACTTAATCTGCAAATAGGTAATTATATACCAATAGGAATTTCCTTATTATAGAATCTTCTCAGATTTTTATATTTTTATCTGGTTATGATTTGCAGTGAAAGCTGGGACGGTCCAAGTCGTGGTGATGGGGCACGGCATGGAAGGATGACTAATGGAACTCCTGCGCCCAGAGGTCGAGGTGGACGTGGCCGGGGGAGCTCTATGGGTCCACGAACATTCCAAAACAGGCAAGCACCTGGTTTCCCAGATTCCATAGACACCTGGGGGCCTCTCACAGATGACAAGCCAAACCATCAAAACAGTCTTAAGATAGGTGAGCTTTTTTTTCTTTCACTTGTGACTAGTTCACTGATTCTTTGGGTGATTTTTTGTCTAGTAGGTTTTTATAATTTTAGGTTCATTTAAGATAGAAAGCAGGTTCATTATATTAAGTTATAATGTAATGGCATCTTTCAAGCTTATCATTTGGCCACCTTTAAGTTTCGTATAAATTTATTAATGGTTCCGCAAACCATGTGAAAACTAATTCTTTTCATTGTCATATAATTTGTGCTTTTATGCAGTAAATGCTTGTTAAGAAGTATTTTCAAAAACTATCCAGTTCCTCTTGGAAAGTACTACACTATATTAACCCTTTGAGGGTCCGTGCCGTAGATCTACAGCTTTACGTTGAGGGTCCAAACCGTAGATCTACGTCACGAGCTCAGCTCACTCTGATAAGCTGTGAGCAGTAAATTTTGGCCTAGATATGAGAGAATACATCTATGTGGTATGTGTGCACCACATAAAACAAATCCTGCAACACATAGTGTATAATGAGAAAAAAAACTGAGACCGTAATTTTCGATTAAAACAGTGAATTTGCAGTGTCTTTTCATATGTTTTTTATAGTTGTATTTGTGATTTCTTGGTCTCATTTGATAGAATGGAAGATATATTACAGAAATAGAGATGATTTTGATTGGTTTTAGTACTAAAAATGGCTTGAAACTGAGCTCAAAGTAGCGGAATTGTTAAATTTTTGCCGATGTTCAAGAGTAAACAAATGACCTCACACATCTAATACACGCCTGCTGGTGGGTCTAATATACGTTCACAAATGTGGTTATATTATTTATACAATTATTACAATATTGCATAACAGTAAATCTTCTATTTTTTGGTTTGAATAAAAATTCATTATGTGAATAAAAAATCAAAATGGAATTCATTTGTAAAGCCTGAAAACATAACTAATGAACAGAGGAAATGTTAGTTTAGTTCCAGGAATGCCCGCATTGTTTATTCTGGACCCTATTTTGAAATTGGAGTAAAGTATTTTGAACTTGGCATTAAATTGGCCAAAATACCAATTTCTGATCACTTCATTTTGTAGTTAAAACAGTTGACTTGGTGAATTCTTGTGCTCAGTCGATAGAGTAGAAGTAACACTAGTGAAATAGCTAAGAATTTGGTCGACTGGAACAATGTAATTGGCCTAAAATGGGAGTCAAAGTCGGCAAAACCGCCAATGAGTAAGTATCGCTGACACATCAAAATTCGCGGGAGCATAATTTCGTCAATTTTCCATCAAATTTCATATTTTTTTTTGTTTTATTACCTTCAGAAAAAGATTCTCTACCATCTCATAAGAAAAAGTAACAAAATAATTTTTTGAAAATTCTTGGACACTGGTGCACACTTTAAAATTTGGCCTCTGGATCCTGAAAGGGTTAAAAATTTTTATAGTACATATTCCAGTTTTGCATCAGTATGGATAAGACACTTTCTAAAGGAAGCTATGATTTTGCTTACAAAGTAATGTACAGTGGTGCCCTGACTTTCGGCCATAATTCGTTCCAGAAGGCTGTTCGAGTGCCGTTACCGAACGAATTTGTTCCCATAAGGAATAATGTAAAGTAGATTAGTCTGTTTCAGACACCCAAAAATACATTTACAAAAACACTTAAAATAATACGTTTACATAATTGAGTTGGGAGCTGTACTAAACTTGGGGTACCGCTGTATATATTTTTAATTTGAACTTTTTTTTTTTTAATCAGCCTGGTATGCAACCTTTAAATATTCTGATGAATGGTATCAGATTAAGATAATGCAGTGAATAAATTTTGTGAATAAATTCAGTTCCTGCATGAAACATTGAAATAGTATTACCATTAGTGAAAATTTTGAGAGCTTTATGCAAGCTCTGCTGTGTACTGATAATTACATTTTTAAAGTTTTAACCTTTTTGTTTTATGTAATCTGACTAAAATTGCTGACAAGCTCACAATTTATTGCAGACAATTGGGATGATGAGCCTCCTTCGGGTGGGGATGACTGGGACAGCGAATGGACTGGATCTTTAGAACAAACAACAGTATTTGGTCCATCTAGCAGTTCCAGTACATCTACATTGACACCATCACTATCAGAGTCTCTTCCAGAAACACTGTCTGTAGGAAGTCCATCAGTTGGACCGGCAGTGTCTCTTGCACCCTCTCAGGTCTATTCTTCTACGCCACCACAAGTTTACCCTCCACCGCCAGCTTCAAGCTACTCTCCCACTGCTACGACCTTCACCTCTACTACGGCTTCAACGTACTCTTCGACAACAGCTTCCACAGCCTCTATTACCCAACCTCAGACAATGGATTTGGCTGCCTTATTACAAAAGGCAGCTCCACAGTCCACTCTTAGTGGGTTGGTGTCAAGTACCCAGCTAGGGAGTAGCAACAGCACAAGTAATGGTGGAGGTGGGGGTAGTAGGGGAGGTGGAGCCCCACTAGTATCTCCAGCACCAGGATTGAGTGTTGGCAGTCAACATGGCATCTTAAGTAGTCTTAGTGCCAATGTAGGGGAGAGTTTAAAAGCTGGAGGACTTGGAAGTGTTGGTGTGTCGGCTACTGCTCCATCTCCTGCATCGTCAGCTCCACCACCCTACTCGACTCCCACAGCTCAGCTGCAGGCAGCCATCTTCTCTAGTTCTGGTATGTTTTATAGATTTGTTAATTTGTGCATTTTTCAAAGTTTACTGTACATTTTACAGAGTAAGCTGTACAATTATGTGGGTAGGTTTTATAGCAAAAACATTGTATTTAACCTAGCTTTTTTTAGAGGCTGGATAAAAATAGGATGACCAAGAGAGTATATAAATCTGGTGAAGAAAGGAGGGTGAGGGTCATCTCTGGAAGGGTTTAACCCTTAAACTGCCCAAACGTAGATCTACATTCACTCATGTAGCACTCCAAACTTAGATCTATGTGTATGTGAAAGAAGTTGAAAGTGGTAGGGGCTTAAGTATCCTGCAGGCATGTGTGATCATTAGTGAGTGGAGAGTAGTAGATTTAGGGATTTGATGTGATGTTTTAGTGTCAGCATTGTAACATGAAGGAATTCAGGAAACCCGGTTAGCAGGACTAAAAACCTGGAGGTGGGAATTAAGTGCCTACTCTCTTTAAGAGGTGGGGAGGTTGAAGATGGTTGCATTATTTTTGTTTTTCAGTCTTCATAAAGTTTTTGGTGTAACTTTCACAGAATTTTTTTTTATTACCCTTCTTGCAACAGATGAGTTTTTTTTTAATTTTCAACATGCAACAAAATTGTATTTTTGGTAGCATTTTACGGATGTTACTTGCCATTATTTTTTCCAGTGATTATTGTCTTTCAGGTCTTCATAGTGTGGTAACAAGTAGCCTAGCCAGCAGCATAAGTAACAACAGTGTAATAAATAAAGTTGTTAGTTTATCAACTGTAAGTTCCACTCTGCCTTCTCGTCCGAAGACGCAGAGACCTCGGATACCCCAGGCCTCGAAGGTAAGTTTTGAGTGCTTTGTAATTATAAATACAGTGCTTATCAGTCAAATTGCCATAGAAAGTGAGGATACCTTTGTAGCTTTGATATTTTTTTTAACACTGGCTGTCCCCTGAGTAGGGTGACCAATAACTGTCTTGTCAAAAATGGGAAAACATCACAGTTTAAATGACCTTCTGCACTCATCCCATCCTCCTAATAACTGTCACACTTTTGTATAGGGTTTGCAGTTCATTTCTGAGTTGGGTTAGATTATGTTAGATTATGGAGTGTGAGAAGGGTAATATTTAGTGAAGGGATTCAGGGAAACCGGTTATTTTCATATAGTCGGACTTGAGTCCTGGAAATGGGAAGTACAATGCCTGCACTTTAAAGGAGGGGTTTGGGATATTGGCAGTTTGGAGGGATATGTTGTGTATCTTTATATGTGTATACTTCTAAACTGTTGTATTCTGAGCACCTCTGCAAAAACAGTGATAATGTGTGAGTGTGGTGAAAGTGTTGAATTATGATGAAAGTACAGTGGACCCTCGACTAACGCTATTAATCCGCTCCTGAGAGCTCATCGTTAGTCAGAATAATCGTTAGTCAAGTTAATTTTCCCCATAAGAAATAATGGAAATCAAATTAATCCGTGCAAGACACCCAAAAGTATTGAAAAAAAAAAAATTTTAACACATGAAATATTAATTTTAATACACACAAACTGAAGAAGACATGCACAGTTACACGACACTTACCTTTATTGAAGATCTGGTGATGATTGATGGGATGGGAAGAGGGGAGTGTGTTGATGGTCTTAGTGTTTAGAAGGGGAATCCCCTTCCATTAGGACTTGAGGTGGCAAGTCCTTTTTTGGGGTTACTTCCCTTCTTCTTTTAATGCCACTAGGACCAGCTTTAGAGTCACTGGACCTCTGTCGCACAACATATCTGCCCATAGAGGCCTGTACCTCCCGTTCCTTTATGACATTCCTAAAGTGTTTCACAACATTGTCAGTGTCACCATTAAACACTTGTTCAGGTTTTAGTCCTTCACTGTCTATGTATTCCTTGAATTCCTGCACATATTTTTCAGCTGCTTTTTGGTCCAAACTGGCTGCCTCACCATGCCTTATCACACTATGTATGCCACTACGATTCTTAAATCTCTCAAACCAACCTTTGCTGGGCTTAAATTCACTCACATCACCACTAGTTGCTGGCATTTTTCTAATTAAATCGTCATGCAACTTCCTAGCCTTTTCACATATGATCGCTTGAGAGATGCTATCTCCTGCTATCTGTTTTTCGTTTATCCATACCAATAACAGTCTCTCAACATCTTCTATCACTTGCAATCTCAGTTTCGAAAACATAGTTGCACCTTTGGCAAGAACAGCTTCCTTGATTGCCGTTTTCTTGGCCACAATAGTAGCGATGGTTGATTGGGGTTTTGTGTACAGCCTGGCCAGCTCGGAGACATGCACTCCACTTTCATACTTAGCAATGATCTCTTCATATCCATAGTAATTCTCACCCTTTTTGCTGTAGGGTTGGCACTAGAAGCTTTCTTGGGGCCTATGGTGACTTATTTTGCAGGTGCAATCACTAAAAAGGCTGTGATAATATGAAATGTTCCGATTGTATGCTTGGAAGCGACCGCGGTGGCTGGCTGGCTTGTAAACACTGGCCAGAAGTGGACGTGTCTCAGACGGAACGAATAGTGTTGGTCGAGTTTTTTAGCGCTAATCGAGGCAAAATTTTTGCGATAAAATGTATCGCTAGTCAGATTTATCGTTAATCGATCCCATCGCTGGTCAAGGGTCCACTGTATTTTCTTTTTGGGGATTTTCTTTCTTTTTTGGGTCACCCTGCCTCAGTGGGAGACGGCCGACTTCTTGAAAAAAAAAAAAAAAAAAATTTATTATCACACTGGCCGATTCCCACCAAGGCAGGGTGGCCCGAAAAGGAAAAACTTTCACCATCATTCACTCCATCACTGTCTTGCCAGAAGGGTGCTTTACACTACAGTTTTTAAACTGCAACATTAACACCCCTCCTTCAGAGTGCAGGCACTGTACTTCCCATCTCCAGGACTCAAGTCCGGCCTGCCGGTTTCCCTGAACCCCTTCATGAATGTTACTTTGCTCACACTCCAACAGCACGTCAAGTATTAAAAACCATTTGTCTCCATTCACTCCTATCAAACACGCTCATGCATGCCTGCTGGAAGTCCAAGCCCCTCGCACACAAAACCTCCTTTACCCCCTCCCTCCAACCTTTTCTAGGCCGACCCCTACCCCGCCTTCCTTCCACTACAGACTGATACACTCTTGAAGTCATTCTGTTTTGCTCCATTCTCTCTACATGTCCGAACCACCTCAACAGCCCTTCCTCAGCCCTCTGGACAACAGTTTTGGTAATCCCGCACCTCCTCCTAACTTCCAAACTACGAATTCTCTGCATTATATTCACACCACACATTGCCCTCAGACATGACATCTCCACTGCCTCCAGCCTTCTCCTCGCTGCAACATTCATCACCCATGCTTCACACCCATATAAGAGCGTTGGTAAAACTATACTCTCATACATTCCCTTCTTTGCCTCCAAGGACAAAGTTCTTTGTCTCCACAGACTCCCAGGTGCACCACTCACCCTTTTCCCCTCATCAGTTCTACGATTCACCTCATCTTTCATAGACCCATCCGCTGACACGTCCACTCCCAAATATCTGAATACATTCACCTCCTCCATACTCTCTCCCTCCAATCTGATATCCAATCTTTCATCACCTAATCTTTTTGTTATCCTCATAACCTTACTCTTTCCTGTATTCACTTTTAATTTTCTTCTTTTGCACACCCTACCAAATTCATCCACCAATCTCTGCAACTTCTCTTCAGAATCTCCCAAGAGCACAGTGTCATCAGCAAAGAGCAACTGTGAAAACTCCCACTTTATGTGCGATTCTTTATCTTTTAACTCCACGCATTTTGCCAGGACCCTCTCATTTACTTCTCTTACAACCCCATCTATAAATATATTAAACAACCATGGTGACATCACACATCCTTGTCTAAGGCCTACTTTTACTGGGAAATAATTTCCCTCTTTCCTACATACTCTAACTTGAGCCTCACTATCCTCGTAAAAACTCTTCACCGCTTTCAGTAACCTACCTCCTACACCATACATCTGCAACATCTGCCACATTGCTCCCCTATCCACCCTGTCATACACCTTTTCCAAATCCATAAATGCCACAAAGACCTCTTTAGCCTTATCTAAATACTGTTCACTTATATGTTTCACTGTAAACACCTGGTCCACACACCCCCTACCTTTCCTAAAGCCTCCTTGTTCATCTGCTATCCTATTCTCCGTCTTACTCTTAATTCTTTCAATAATAACTCTACCATACACTTTACCAGGTATACTCAACAGACTTCTTCTTTCTATCAACACACAGGCTGTATCCCACCGAGGCGGGGTGGCCCAAAAGGAAAAACAAAAGTTTCTCCTTTTACATTTAGTAATATATACAGGAGAAGAGGTTACTAGCCCCTTGCTCCCGGCATTTTAGTCGCCTCTTACAACACGCATGGCTTACGGAGGAAGAATTCTGTTCCACTTCCCCATGGAGATAAGAGGAAATAAACAAGAATAAGAACTAGAAAGAAAATAGAAGAAAACCCAGAGGGGTGTGCATATACAGTGGACCCCCGGTTAACGATATTTTTTCACTCCAGAAGTATGTTCAGGTGCCAGTACTGACTGAATTTGTTCCCATAAGAAATATTGTGAAGTAGATTAGTCCATTTCAGACCCCCAAACATACACGTACAAACGCACTTACATAAATACACTTACATAATTGGTCACATTCGGAGGTAATCGTTATGCGGGGGTCCACTGTATATGCTTGTACGTGTATGTGTAGTGTGACCTAAGTGTAAGTAGAAGTAGTAAGACGTACCTGAAATCTTCATGTTCATGAGACAGAAAAAAGGACACCAGCAATCCTACTATCATGTAAAACAATTACAGGCTTTCGTTTTACACTCGCATGGCAGGACGGTAGTACCTCCCTGGGCGGTTGCTGTCTACCAACCTACTACCTAGGACTCAACAGACTTATCCCCCTATAATTTTTGCACTCTCTTTTGTCCCCTTTGCCTTTATACAAAGGAACTATGCATGCTCTCTGCCAATCCCTAGGTACCTTACCATCTTCCATACATTTATTAAATAATTGCCCCAACCACTCCAAAACTATATCCCCACCTGCTTTTAACATTTCTATCTTTATCCCATCAATCCCGGCTGCCTTACCCCCTTTCATTTTACCTACTGCCTCACGAACTTCCCCCACACTCACAACTGGCTCTTCCTCACTCCTACAAGATGTTATTCCTCCTTGCCCTATACACGAAATCACAGCTTCCCTATCTTCATCAACATTTAACAATTCCTCAAAATATTCCCTCCATCTTCCCAATACCTCTAACTCTCCATTTAATAACTCTCCTATTCTATTTTTAACTGACAAATCCATTTGTTCTCTAGGCTTCCTTAACTTGTTATTCTCACTCCAAAAACTTTTTCTTATTTTCAACAAAATTTGTTGATAACATCTCACCCACTTTCTCATTTGCTCTCTTTTTACATTGCTTCACCACTCTCTTAACCTCTCTCTTTTTCTCCATATACTCTTCCCTCTTTGCATCACTTCTACTTTGTAAAAACTCTCTATTGCTAACTTTTTCTCCCTTACTGTTCTCTTTACATCATCATTCCACCAATCGCTCCTCTTCCCTCCCGCACCCACTTTCCTGTAACCACAGACTTCTGCTGAACACTCTAACACTACATTTTTAAACCTACCCCATATCTCTTTGACCCCATTGCCTATGCTCTCATTAGCACCATCTATCCTCCAATAGCTATTTATATCTTACCCTAACTGCCTCCTCTTTTAGTTTATAAACCTTCACCTCTCTCTTCCCTGATGCTTCTATTCTCCTTGTACCCCACCTACCTTTTACTCTCAGTGTAGCTACAACTAGAAGGTGATCTGATATATCTGTGGCCCCTCTATAAACATGTACATCCTGAAGTCTACTCAACAGTCTTTTATCTACCAATACATAATCCAACAAACTACTATCATTTCGCCCTACATCATATCTTGTATACTTATTTATCCTCTTTTTCTTAAAATATGTATTACCTATAACTAAACCCCTTTCTATACGAAGTTCAATCAAAGGGCTCCCATTATCATTTACACCTGGCACCCCAAACTTACCTACCACACCCTCTCTAAAAGATGATAAAAAGTGCTATGCAAATAAAACAGGCACTTGCTGTGTGTGGCTCCTGTAAGAGTTGTATTTCATCTGTTCAAAGCTATCAGAGCCACCTCATTTGCCTGTTTTTACAACAGTGCCATGATGTCTGGTGAAGAGGATAGGCTTTCTGACTTCAACATCCCTACCCTTCCTTCAGAGTGCCAGTACTTCCCAACTCCAGGACTTCAGCCCAACTACCTGATTTCCTGGAATCCATTCATAAATGTTATCTTGCTTACACTCCAACAATAGTCATAAAAAACTTTTCTCCGTTAACTCTGATCTTACATTTCACACAAGGCTGCTGTATGCTCAGGCCCCCATTCCCCCAGCACTCAAAATCTCTTGTACTCCTTCTCAAAAGCCTTTTCTGGGATGATTCCTATTCTTTCACCCTTTTCTTCAGATTTATGCACCCTCCTGGTTGTTCTATTTTGTATCGTCCTCTTTTAATTAAGGCCCAAATAACCTCAAGACCCCTTCTCCAGCCTTCGGAATTATACCTTGGGTAACCCTACTTTGTTTTCTAATTTCTGCACACTGATTTATGCATTATTTTCACACCATGCAGTGCTTTCAAACATCACATCACTACCTCTACCCTCCTAATTGTTGCAGTGCCTATGGTCCATGCTTCACACACATGTAAATTTGTTGATCCCACTATACTTGATAAACTTCTGTTGTTGCCTGTCAAGATAAACTTCTTTCCACAGGTGCCTTAATATGCCAGCTTTCTTTTTTCCCCACTTATTTATATTTTGTGGTTCACCAATCTTTCATAAACCATTTGCTAATATGTTCCCTTCTAAAAATCAGAATACTGTACATTCACTTGCACTGTACTCTCTCCTATTTCATATCTAATCTTTTATTGCCTATACTTTTTGTTTCTTATCACACTTGTTCTTTTCTGTGTATACTTTTAATTCTTTTAAATACACTTCCAAATTCTTCCACAAACCTCTGTAGCTTCTTTTTTAGTATCTTCCAAAAGAACAGTATTTAGTTGTCACTTGCCAGATTCACTCCCTCCTATCCTCATGGGACTTACCGTTCCTGCTCATAAAATTATATATGGAGTCTGCGCCTACCACGTGAGATCATGCCACTTCCTGAATACTCCGAGACTGAAGAAATACTTCCTGACATTTCAGTGGCTCATCTCTGGGTTGGCAGACTTCACTATGTGTATTTGGTCCATCCTTTATGAGAGAAGATGACAGGGAAACATAAATAGCTTTTGTTCAGACTGTCATATGGAATAGGGCATCAGTTCATTGCTGATGTTTACCTGGAGTTTACCTGGAGAGAGTTCCGGGGGTCAACGCCCCCGTGGCCCGGTCTGTGACCAGGCCTCCAATAGTGCTAAAAAAAAAAAAATAAAAAAAAAAAAACTCCAGGTGTGTTGTATATAGATGTTCATCATTGAATGAATGGCACCTCCTTATTTATAGGTAACATTATTTCATGTATTAAAGTTTGTAGAATTACTGACAATATGTTAGGTAAAAGAACACAAGTGCAACTAATGTGACATTTTATAGTGGCAGCATTTCACTCTCCAGGAGCTTTATAAAGCCGTTACAAACAATACATGGACACAGAGGCTATATATAGGCTTAGTGAGGTGTAATACTAGTGGTAGTAGTAATATTAGTTGTAGTAGTAGTAGTAATACATGTGGTAGAACAATCAACTTGCACATGAGTAAAAGGTTATAAAAGCTATTAGTACTTGGGTAGCATAAAAATAGGTTAGACAAATATTTCTGTTAGTGGCTGTTTTTGAGAAGGCCTGTTCCAGTGTTCCTCTGATATGTTCTTGTGTTGTGTAGTATTAGCAGCAGCGACTATGTGATGGCAGGGCTTATTGTTTTGAGGATGATTTTTGTTAATACTTCAGAGGTGATGGCATCGTTGAATTTCACGAGGTGATTGGTGGAATTCCAGTGCTGTACACAGGCGTTGTTCAAGTTATTATTCTTACATACATTGATGTGTTCATTATTTCATGTATTTCTTAGTAATTGTTCATGCTAAGAGGGTCAATGCCTTTGTTTTCTATATACAGTGAATGGGGATTGAGTGAGCAATTTAATCTATTAAAAATCTGGTTTGCACAGAAGTGCTAGAGCCTTTTGACACTTTATAAATTTTTAACTTGATGCAATTAATTTTTTTATTCAGATACCTCTTTCGGCTGTGGAGATGCCAGAAGATGCTATGGCAGCACTAGATGTGCAGTTCAGTGGATTAGAATTCGGCACAGAGACTTTTGACTTTACTACTGATGTAAAGACAAGTTCAAGCAGTACTGGTCTTGTAAGCACCACGCCTGTAAACTCCTGTGACCCTTCATCTTCTACTCCTCCCGTCACCAAAGATCTCACTTCTGCATCTCTCTCTTCTTCTCTCCCACAGTCTCAAAAGGTATACTATTGTTCAATATTTCTCAGATTTTTCATGCCCATGTATGTAATCTTTTAGATGCATGATTTAATTTGAATTTTTGTTTAACCCTTTCAGGGTCGACAGGCCCTCTCCCAGACTTGTTCTCAGGGTCGAAAAATATTCAGAAAAAAAAAAGTTATTCGTTTTCTTATGAAAAGAGTTTTTTTTTTTAAACTTTATAGGCTAAAATAGTTTTTTTTTTTTTTAAACTTTATAGGCTAAAAAAATTTTTTTTGCCATCAATATATACCGAGATATGGAGGCGTGAAGTTGACAAAGTGAACCTCATACAGCAGCATCGCCGACTGCCGGTCACCCGGTAATCGTTTATTTTGTTTTTTCTACTTTTTTCTATTTTTTAATATTTTTTTTCTTTTCAAGTAACTTTTATGGCCTGTGAGACCAATATGAGCACAATTTTGTAAATTTTTACTCTTTCTATACTACACAATAACTCCACAAACACTGTTGTCAGTATATTGTTTACAAAACTTGTTTACACAAATGAACAATATAAAATGTTGTTTATTACTGTTTTTCTATATTTTTTATACACATATACAGTCACAGGATATGTTTCTAGAAGTTCTGCAGCCTTTGGAAGTCTTTGAAACATGGTGTCATGCACAGTGGTGTTTTACACTCCTCACACATAAAGCTAGTGTCTCTGCGTTGTTGTGGGTGCTTTTTTTTGTATGTGCACAGACATAACACCTCTTCTGAGCCTTTTTCTTGAAAGCAGTAGCAGGCAGTTTTATTAGGAAGTGATCACCATGCCTCAGATGAAAGGGTAGTTGTTGATAATTTAGTGGGCGGTTTTCTAATACAGGTGTTGTTCCTTGGTACTTGAATACTATTTGTCTGATGACAAACAAAATTTGCCGTATGGTGGTTTGTTTCTGGTCCTCATCTTGTACATATTATAAGCATTGAGTATGGAAATGTCCAGAATATGGAAAAAGTGTTTTATGTACCACTTATAACTCTTGCAGACACAGTCAGCAAACCCAATCTGCATGTCACATTTGTCCACTGAGCATATATTGAGGGTGTAGCCAATCACAGCTGCAGGTTTTAGAATGGGTTCATTGGTCTCTATTCTGCCTGCCAGTGTTTGTCATTTTGTTAGGGTGAACTGATGACAACAGTGTGACATCTTGTTTGTCATGCCACTTCCTGGTATTTTGCAGTGTATTACTTCCAGTGTACACAGTAATATCCAATAAAAGACCACTGTAGCAGTCACAAGCACAAACAACTTTATAAAAAAAAATACATATTGAATTTCTGTTTCAGATACACACACACATTCCTAATCTTATATAACCTGTTGTTTCTGTCAGGCCTGGTTTTGTCTGAGACGTGAAGCATACGTAATAGTAGCACAAATCGATTATATCACTGAAACCTGGGGTTCCAATCAAGTGTTCTGTTGACCAGTATGATTTGACACTGTGCTTATACACACGTGGCATAAGCATTATTGTGGCAAAGAAAACATACATCTCAGCCACAGTTGTCTTCTTCCACTGGTGTAGGCGTGATTTTGGTGAAAGTACGTATTGTGTTTGCCATGGTGTACTCAAAGTATCTGTTGCTTTCCCTGACAAAATTTCCATCAGGGGTTTGTCAAAGAATAACTAGAAACATTCTAGTTCAGTGGCATTGTTCCCAAGTGTACAAGATGGCCATATTCCACTTTGACTTTTATCAAAGTGATGGGGATTGGGAACAAAATTGTCAGCTTCCTGCCAATTCCAGGTGCGATCTGCTGGTGGGTACTGGATATTAACAGGTGGCTGTGGTTATGGAGGTTGTGGTTGTGGAGGCTGGTGTGGTGGGTAGGTGGGAGATGGTGGCCTTTGTTGTAGTTCAGCTGAGGCAGCGATATGGGTGGCAACATGGTCCACTGCTGGTGCCTCTCGGCTGGCACCATCACTACCACCACCAGATGCATGCACAATTTCCATCCCAATTGCAACACGCAACACTATCATCTTCATTTTCACTATCTGTTCCTGTTGTACAGCCACAGAATGTACTCTGAGATGTACTCCTTCCCCTTATAATAGCATATGGCACACTACCAGAACGCATATGCCGTCGTATATACTGATGCTTCACTGGAGAATATTCTACTTCATTATCGCTACTGGAACTGTTTTCAAGAGCTTGTAGTTCATATTCACTATCATTGTCATCACCATTGCTCACATCTGAGTCCTGGATATGGGAAAATACGAGTTTCCTCTTTCGTTCTGGTACAACTGAACGTGAACAAGACGGTCCAGCACCAGAGGTGGAAGGTGGAGGGTCATCTGGATTTTCCTCAATATTACCGGTATTATGGTCATTAGTTTCGGTCACAATCTCATCAAAAGCTCAAAACTCATCTTAACTGGCACTTCCATCTGTATTAGAACTGTCACTGGGGAACAAAAGTGTCCCAATTCGCCGAGGAGTGAGGAGTTTCTTACCGCGAGGCATGGTGAACAAGGTGTACTAAAATGGCATTCCCACAATGCACCACAGGGTCCCCGAATTTTTTCCTACTGCGCACACTGACCACACAGACCCATTTTGACACATCTAGGCCTACCAGCCTTTTCTCCCTTGATTTGAAGGTGGTGGAATTTATGCGTACTAGTACATCAATAACCCTGGCGCATAAGCTGTACTAGTATGTTGGAAACCCTGAAAGGGTTAATAAAGAAATAAAGTTGACCTTTGAACAATGCAGGGGTTAGGGGCGCTGACTCCCTGCGCAGTCGAAAATCTGTACATAACTCGACTCAAAAACTCAACTTCCAGTGGTTTACTGTTGACCAGAAGCCTTACTGATAACATTAACAGTTGATAATACATATTTTGCATGTTGTGTGTAATATATTCTGTATTCTTACAATTAAGTAAGCTAGAGAAAAAACATTATTGAGAAAATCATTAGGAAGAGAAAATATATTTACAGTATTGTACTGTATTAGCAGTACCATAAGTTTTTGTTGTCTGTTTACAAGATGAATCGTCTGTCTGTCAGTACCTACATCAGTATTGTCTTATGTGACATAAAACACTGTAGATGTTACACATTTTACTAACACTAGACATTAAAAATGAAAACATAATGTGAAAAAGAAATTCATATTTCTCTCAACTGCGAATGGAACATGTACATTCTGTAATAATAATAATAATAATAATATATATGGGGAAGTGGAACAGAATTCTTCCTCCGTAAGCCATGCATGTCGTAAGAGGCGACTAAAATGCCGGGAGCAAGGGGCTAGTAACCCCTTCTCCTGTATATATTACTAAATTTGAAAGGAGAAACTTTCATTTTTCCTTTTGGGCCACCCCACCTCAGTGGGATACGGCTAGTACATTGAAAGGAGAAGAAGAAAGAAGCACTATAATTAATTTTTTTATTAACACACTGGCCGATTCCCACCAAGGCAGGGTGGCCCGAAAAAGAAAAACTTTCACCATCATTCACTCCATCACTGTCTTGCCAGAAGGGTGCTTTACACTACAGTTTTTAAACTGCAACATTAACACCCCTCCTTCAGAGTGCAGGCACTGTACTTCCCATCTCCAGGACTCAAGTCCAGCCTGCCGGTTTCCCTGAACCCCTTCATAAATGTTACTTTGCTCACACTCCAACAGCACGTCAAGTATTAAAAACCATTTGTCTCCATTCACTCCTATCAAACACGCTCACGCATGCTTGCTGGAAGTCCAAACCACTCGCACACAAAACCTCCTTTACCCCCTCCCTCCAACCTTTCCTAGGCCGACCCCTACCCCGCCTTCCTTCCACTACAGACTGATACACTCTTGAAGTCATTCTGTTTTGCTCCATTCTCTCTACATGTGCAAACCACCTCAACAATCCTTCCTCAGCCCTCTGGACAACAGTTTTGGTAATCCCGCACCTCCTCCTAACTTCCAGACTACGAATTCTCTGCATTATATTCACACCACACATTGCCCTCAGACATGACATCTCCACTGCCTCCAGCCTTCTCTTCGCTGCAACATTCATCACCCATGCTTCACACCCATATAAAAGCGTTGGTAAAACTATACTCTCATACATTCCCCTCTTTGCCTCCAAGGACAAAGTTCTTTGTCTCCACAGACTCCTAAGTGCACCACTCACCCTTTTTCCCTCATCAATTCTATGATTCACCTCATCTTTCATAGACCCATCCGCTGACACGTCCACTCCCAAATATATATTTTTTATATTATTGACCCTTGTGGGTTTAGTGCTTAGTTATGATTATAATAATTATATTATATATTATTGCATCTTTACTTTTGTTTACATTTCTCTCAACTGCAAATGGAACGTGTATGATCTGTAATTTTGTGTGTATATAAGTTTTTATAACTTTTAACTTTTTATAATAAATTTGTGTATATTTTATTGCAGTAAATGATAAAATACTCGTATCTACATATATTTTATGCATTCTCGACATACCTAGCTTATTTTTTCAGTCGCAGATCTCAAAAAAAATTTCCTGTGTATTTATTGAAAAAAATCCGCATAGAGTGGACTCATGCAGTTCAAACCTTTGTTGTTCAAGGGTCAACTGTATGGTAAAGCCTCTTTACTTGGACATGATCCATGGCAACAAGATTTCCAAATTGTTTTCATGTTGACAAATTTGTGCTGCCTCTCTCAAATTATTTTTTTTTCAACACGTCAGTTGTCTCCCACCGAGACAGGGTGACCCAAAAAAGAAAGAAAAAATCCCCAAAAAGAAAATTATTATAAATTATTATAATTAGTTATTTGGTATTACAGTCCAATAAAAAATTATATGCTAGTTCACTTCATTTTACAAAAAAAAGTTGACAAATGAAAAAAGGAATTTTTAAATAATTGTTTATTTGATAACACTTTAACATAGCTGGACAGATCAGTGGAAAGCTATATGAAATTATGATAAAATTGATCTAAATCCAAGGATGGAAGGTATGTCACCAAAAAAGCTGTTAGGGTACTAACCATGCAGAATAGTCATCGATATACGTGTGAATAGGTTTACATATGCTGATTGTAATAACAGCTTCAATTGTGCCCTTGCTTTTGTTGTTTGTTTCAAGGAAATGAATAATACAGAGGTGTTTTCCTACATTGTGAACTTGTGTGGCTTGCTTTAAACACTGTCAGTGGTTTTATAGCTGAGTAACAAGCATGAAACAGTATTGATAAGTAAAGGAGCCAGTGTGTTATGCCTAACTATTTAGTGGTGCTTACTCTTGCAGCTTGGACCTGAGCCCATTCCATTCCCCACCTCTCAGACAAGTGAGCGCAAGCCCTCTGGAGGGGCCTTTGTGTCTGGAAACCAACGTAGCAGTGCCAGCAACAGTGCTGCACCTCAGGGTCTATCTGACCTGGCCAAGAATGAGAGTGGTGGTGGCACAGGTGGCCTAGGGAGCTTGGTGGGGTCAGCTGGCCCAACTTATCAGTCTTACACCAGCTCTAAGTCATCCTCATCCTTCCCATCCCCACCCTCTGCTCCCTACTCACAGACGCCCTCACAGGTAACACCACTGCCTGCCTTGCTGAACTTACAACTGTAATACAGTTTAACCATTTTTTCTTCTGTTCCTAAAACACTTAACCTTGTATGTCTACTAGAAATATTGTTTTTATAAGCCTGTGCACACACAAGTGTTAAAATTAGCGATCTTGTTTTGTACAATCCACCATACAATGAAAGATTGTATGCAGTAGGACACCTTCCCCCCAGGTATCCGCAGGGTATATGTTCCAAGGACCTGCTGCAGATAGCCAAGCTGTGGATAGTAGCAAACCCCATGTGTAAGTCCTGTATATACCTATTATAAAGTTTAATTGATAAATTATGCACAATAAGTGGAGAATTATCACTTTTTCACTGATGGGAAGAACTTCATGACTTCACTTAGGCTTTGAAGAACTGCTTCTCTACTTTTGTGCTTTGGGGCCAATTTTATGCAGAATTAAGAGGTATTCTTGGGTCAGTTAACTATGGATTACTGAAACTACAGATACTGAATCAATGGATATAGGGGTTCTACTGTAATATAAATGAATATACTTGTAGGAACTATGCATGCATAGTTCCTTTGTATAAAGGCAAAGGGGATAAAAGAGAGTGCAAAAATTATAGGGGGATAAGTCTGTTGAGTGTACCTGGTAAAGTGTATGGTAGAGTTATAATTGAAAGAATTAAGAGTAAGACGGAGAATAGGATAGCAGATGAACAAGGAGGCTTTAGGAAAGGTAGGGGGTGTGTGGACCAGGTGTTTACAGTGAAACATATAAGTGAACAGTATTTAGATAAGGCTAAAGAGGTCTTTGTGGCATTTATGGATTTGGAAAAGGCGTATGACAGGGTGGATAGGGGGGCAATGTGGCAGATGTTGCAAGTGTATGGTGTAAGAGGTAGGTTACTGAAAGCAGTGAAGAGTTTTTACGAGGATAGTGAGGCTCAAGTTAGAGTATGTAGAAAAGAGGGAAATTTTTTCCCAGTAAAAGTAGGCCTTAGACAAGGATGTGTGATGTCACCGTGGTTGTTTAATATATTTATAGATGGGGTTGTAAGAGAAGTAAATGCGAGGGTCTTGGCAAGAGGCGTGGAGTTAAAAGATAAAGAATCACACACAGGGTGGGAGTTGTCACAGCTGCTCTTTGCTGATGACACTGTGCTCTTGGGAGATTCTGAAGAGAAGCTGCAGAGATTGGTGGATGAATTTGGTAGGGTGTGCAAAAGAAGAAAATTAAAGGTGAATACAGGAAAGAGTAAGGTTATGAGGATAACAAAAAGATTAGGTGATGAAAGATTGAATATCAGATTGGAGGGAGAGAGTATGGAGGAGGTGAACGTATTCAGATATTTGGGAGTGGACGTGTCAGCGGATGGGTCTATGAAAGATGAGGTGAATCATAGAATTGATGAGGGAAAAAGAGTGAGTGGTGCACTTAGGAGTCTGTGGAGACAGAGAACTTTGTCCTTGGAGGCAAAGAGGGGAATGTATGAGAGTATAGTTTTACCAACGCTCTTATATGGGTGTGAAGCATGGGTGATGAATGTTGCAGCGAGGAGAAGGCTGGAGGCAGTGGAGATGTCATGTCTGAGGGCAATGTGTGGTGTGAATATAATGCAGAGAATTCGTAGTTTGGAAGTTAGGAGGAGGTGCGGGATTACCAAAACTGTTGTCCAGAGGGCTGAGGAAGGGTTGTTGAGGTGGTTCGGACATGTAGAGAGAATGGAGCGAAACAGAATAACTTCAAGAGTGTATCAGTCTGTAGTGGAAGGAAGGCGGGGTAGGGGTCGGCCTAGGAAGGGTTGGAGGGAGGGGGTAAAGGAGGTTTTGTGTGCGAGGGGCTTGGACTTCCAGCAGGCATGCGTGAGCGTGTTTGATAGGAGTGAATGGAGACAAATGGTTTTTAATACTTGACGTGCTGTTGGAGTGTGAGCAAAGTAACATTTATGAAGGGATTCAGGGAAACCGGCAGGCCGGACTTGAGTCCTGGAGATGGGAAGTACAGTGCCTGCACTCTGAAGGAGGGGTGTTAATGTTGCAGTTTAAAAACTGTAGTGTAAAGCACCCTTCTGGCAAGACAGTGATGGAGTGAATGATGGTGAAAGTTTTTCTTTTTCGGGCCACCCTGCCTTGGTGGGAATCGGCCAGTGTGATAATAAAAAAAAATAAATACTTGTAGGAATTATTGCCTACATTACAGAAAAAATACTGGATAGTGAATGCTAAAAATCTTCAATTATCTGAGCATCAGTATCTGGAATAAATAAAATGGGTTCAAAGCAATAACAAAGCTAAAGAAATAAAAAATAGGTACTTATCAGTGACAAGTTGTCCTCTTCCAGGCACAGTTGATACTGTGTGTGTAAATCATGTGAGGTAGTAGCATGGAAAGCACATGTTTACAGCATAATAAAAGTGAGTGGCTACTGATCAGATCAATGATTGCCCTGTCATTGTGTTGTCAGCATGGCATTCAATGTAGTTAAAGTAGCACTAGCTGCCTTAACAGTTTCTCTTTGACTACTGTTGTACACTTCAAACACCAGCATGTAGACCAGCTATCATATTCTGTTATGAGGGAAAATATCAGTGTTGTTCACTGGAATTCCTTGAGGAAAGTGCATGGCTTAGGTGTGAACACTCAGGGCTACAATGACTAAATTATTTCATTTAACACTTGTATTATCACTGTTTTAATCTGCTGCTGCTGAAGCACCTATGTATGTACAGTACACAGGGTTCAGTTTTCCAACATAAGAATATATGGAAAAGTACAGCGTTTGTACACCAAAGGATAGGTAAGGATATTGCATTGCTGAGGATCATTTAAATTATGTCCATGCACTTTTGGGTAGACAGGTGTTGAGCTAACGATGGCAAATGTATTTCCTTTTGAGTTGCCTTTCTTTGGGACTGCCAGTTTTGGCAGGAGCAGATATATGCTCTCTTTGTTAAGTCTTTGGTGTTTATTCTTATTTATAATTTTCTCAATTACCTATTTGTAAATACAGTAATTGTATTACAGTCTCTCCTCACTTAGCGGTGTACTTGTTCACCGACGCCTTGGACTTACAACAGGCTCTCTGACCAGTATTCATACCTAAATAATGTATATTAGAGCTGATTTCCTCTATTCTGTTTGTCAATAAACAGTACACTACTGAATAAACTTAAAAATATACCAGAAATGTTATAAATGGTGCAAAGGTAACATTATAACAATATCAAAGATGGTTGATACAAACACACTACCATTATAGTATGCTCCTCACTTAGCCACAAATTCATTTAACGACGTAGTCTTAGGAACAGAACTCCATCGTTAAGTGAGGAGAGGCTGTACATAGTTTCGGTCGTATATACATGTATATGCAATAAGATCACAGTAAACAGGTGATTTCAGAATATGCAAAACAACCACTGTGAAAGACTAGAGAAATTCCAAGCGCTTTCGTGACTACTCACATTATCCTTGATAATGTGAGTAGTCACGAAAGCGCTTGGAATTTCTCTAGTCTTTCACAGTGGTTGTTTTGTGTACACGTATATGTACGTCTTACGAGCCACCGTGTTTGACGTATATATACTCATAAATTCTAGCGATTTCAAATCAAGCAGGAGAAAGCTGGTAGGCCCACATGTGAGAAAATGGGTCTGTGTGGTCAGTGTGCACCATATAAAAAAATCCTGCAGTACGCAGTGAATAATAAAAAAAAAAATGACCGTGTTTTTTTTATTAAAATGCTGACTTTGTGGTTGTTTTCGTATAGTATTTATGGTTGTATTTTCATTTTCTTTGTCTCATTTGATAGAATGGAAAACATATTATAGAAATAGAGGTGATTTTGATTGGTTTTACTATGAAAAGAACCTTGAAATGGAGCTCAAAGTAGGAGAAATGTTTGATTTTTGCCGATGTTCAAAAGTAAACAAATGTCATTTTCCAATAAGTGTCAAATTAGCAATTCTAATATGCAGTCATGAGTGGGTTGACATTATTTATACAATTATTACAATATTGCAATAGTCTGCATAACAGTAAATCTTCTATTTTTTGCTTGAATAAAAATTCAAAATAGAAAGCAAGAGTAATATCAGAGGGGCCTGGAGATGTGACTGACGAACAAAGAAAATGTTATTTTAGAGCCAGGAATGTCTACATTGTTCATTCTGGACCCTATTTTGAAATTGTCATATTTTTTAATTTTCGTGAAATTGGCCAAATTGCAAATTTCTGTCCACGTTATTGGGTAGTTGAAATCGGTAAATGGGCAGTTTCTTATACTCAATCGATAGAAAAAATGGAGTTCTAAAGAAATAGCTACGAGTTTGGTCGACTGGAACAATGGAATTAGCCGAAAATAGGGCTCAAATTGGGTGAAATCGCCGATTCGTAAATATCTCCGAGGTTGCTAACTTCGCGAGAGTGTAATTTCGTCAGTTTTTTTTATCAAATTTCATTCTTTTGGTGTCATTACAATGGAGAAAACATTCTCTATCATTTCATAAGTTTTTTTTTTTTCCAGAAATTTTGCGACACCGGGAGACACCGCAGGATTTGGGGTTGACAGTCAAAGGGTCAAGTCTGCACAGGGGAAGCTCAAACTGTCATATGTTTTAACTTTCAACTGACTGGCACGATTAACCCCTCTTCTGTCCATCAGGGTCTCTCACGTAAATCTACGTCATGACGGCAGCTCATTCAGATTATTTGTACAAGTCGTTTAGAACATTGACAGGTTGATAAATGAGAGACTTTTGCAAGATTTGGATATCTTTATTCTGGAAACATTTTACCAGCCAGTGGCTTCTTCTCAGTAGAGAAGAACAATGAAAGATGGGGATGAGCTTGAGGTAATCAGTCCTCAAACACCCCCCATCTTCCACTATTCTTCTTTGTATTGGGCTTTGGAAAAAGGCTGAAGAAGCTTTGAAGAGAAATCTCTGTATACAGTAGGACCCCGCTTTACGCCGTTTCGCCTTACTGCGTTCTGCTAATACGGCAATGTCAA